TCTTTCTCTTTCTCTTTCTCTTTCTCTTTCTCTTTCTCTTTCACACTCTCTTCTTCCTCATTATTGAGTCATTTTCCTTTGTTCCTCAACTCAGTATTTTATGTTTTGACTGCTGCTCCATGTGCAGATCTTTGGGTACCTCAAAAACATTTTTCCTCCAGGAAGGAAAACTCTACTTTGTCATTACTGATCATGTTAATGTTAATGAAGTAATTAATGATCACATTAGTTTGTTTACTTTGTTCATCAAAAAACAAGCGAGACAATCTAAATCCATAAGCAATGGCATCTAAAGTGAATGAAAAGCTTAATCGGCTCAATGCTAAGGTTTTTAAGAACTGGTTTAAAAAGTTGTATAAATCTAAATCATAATCTGTGTTGATGCATATCTATGCATATTGATGCATTGTGTTATATTCATTATGTGATGTGTACTTTATTGCGGTGTTATATTAAAAGCTATATATTTTAACTACACTATACATATACAATGAAAATAAGCAACAACCCTCTGTGAAGCACATCAGATATAATAGTTAATGACGGGTATGGCAAAGGCCAAAAAGTTGATAGAGAAGCAGCCGCGCCGAGATTGCAAAGTGACTTGAATGCGGCCATGCACTTACATAAATATAAACATTATGCAACATTAACCAGACATAAGCATATGATAATAAATACTATTCTTCATCGCCTAAAACTGCAAAACCCCTCTTGTTCTTCCTGGTTTGAATTCAAATGGTCTCTCTTCTTCCTTAATGTTCACAACTCGCTTGCTGTTACAACCTCTGCTGCAGCTTTGACGTATTGATTCTTGTGTACCTTGTGTAATTTGGACTTTTATTCACAATTCACGCATTTATTTTTTATTCCAAAGAAAATCATCATTATTGTTTATCAGTGACACATAATCAGACATTTCATGTTTTTTAATTTGTTATTATCTAAATGACTAAACTCTACCCTTATTTATTTGCACCTCAACTGGTTATCTCTGTACTTAGTTATTAGTTTGACCATTTTTCAAAATATCACTTTTTGACCACATCCACAATGACATAATCACCAATATCCGGTGTAAAATAAACCACTGTCGTTAACTTACATAATCATCCAGTAGTATGCCAACAAGTACTGACATGACTTCTTTACAACACACTCTGAATTCTTTTTTTAATAAAATAAAAAATAGGATAACATTGAAAGCATAGTTTACCCAGAAGGGAGAAGATGTGGTTAGGGTACAAAATTGCACTTCCCTCTATAATTTGAGAACTGCTCTTGTTGCAACATTAATTTCTCATATGACTTATGAGTCATTGATTTTGAATAGAAAATAAAATCATTACATCTCTAAGACACAAAACTAGGACATGATTTCAAGTTTAAATAATAGAATCTAAAAGCAGGCAGCCAATATTATAATCTCAAAAGCAGAAAAAAAAATACACTTTTAGGAATTGCAATTACAGTTTTTAAAAAGTGAACATTGATTCTAAATATATGACGACATGAGACATGAGACATGACGTGACTCCAGATATCTACGTGAGAGTCCAAACCCTCCCCCACCTGGATATTCACATTTGAATTTAAGCTGAAAATGAGAAATGCAACTTGTTCCTGTTTTTTCATCATCGTTTTGTGGGACTAGATGTGGAGTTATGCCAATCTCTTCTCACATATCCATCCTATTCTATTATCAATACAATGATTATCTATCCAGCTGTTTACACCTGTGTAAGATATTTCTGCGCAGTCTTCGTCCAGCTTCGAACTTCCATTTGGCTCACCGGTGTGCCAGTAGCTGAAACCCCCAAAGGAAAAATAATAATAATACATTTCAACCTGACATCAACTCAAATCAAAATGCTTTATTGAGATTGATAGAGATAGAATAATAAATGTCTGTCCTATGTCTGGTTTGTTATCTGACATGAAATAAGCTTTTAAAGGACATCACATGTAGTTGTGTTCAGAGGTTGGTAGGTTACTAATATAAACATCATAAAAATAACATAATTATGACATGAAGCTGCAGAGCGAGTGTCTGTCACAGCTCACCATGACAATAGAAAAGTGAAATAATGAGTGAACCTTGTGGTGAGTGGGGTCCCATCGACCCACTTCCATCTGCCCTCTGTCTCTCGATCAGTGAGTCCAATCCACACCTTGTTAGGAAAACTTATTATGTAGTCCTTGTTGTGGAGAGAAAAACGCACAATCACAACCACTATATAAACCGTGACATGCTGTCAACCACTTCTGTGACACACATACAAACCACACACACACACACACACACACACACACACACACACACACACACACACACACACACACACACACACACACACACACACACACACACACACACACACACACACACACACACGCACGCACACACACTCACCTGTTCTTCTTGGCTGTTGATAATCACCAGATCTGCCCCTTTTTGAAGACAGTCATCCCTACTCGCTTGCCAATTTTTCTGGATAGAGGAAGAAACTGTATAGAGACTACCGCTGAAGTACTTCCATCCTTGATAAGAATAGTGGAAAACAGAAGAAACGATAAAACATTAATACTAGGGCTGTCAAGTTAACGCGTTAATAACGCGTTAACGCAAAAAAAAATTAACGCCACTAATTATTTTAACGCGATTAACGCATGTGTATTTTTTGTCCTCGGCCGCCGTAGTTTCAGAGCGCATCGAGTTTAAAATACCATCGACAAGCTGATGCTGACAGCCTCGCTCCTACCGCCCGCTTGTGGCAGACCACACTTCCACGCTCACTGGCAGGCCCGGACTGGCCATCGGGAGGACCGGGAGGGAGTGTGTATGTGTGGTGCGACTCGCGCGAGCGAGGCACACCTTATGTGTTGTTGTTGTTAGCATCTGGTGCTAGCTAGCTGCGCTAACGGATATAAGGAGCTGTTTCAATGACATTTCGCCGACAACTGCGCCGAGCACTTGACTTTATGCAGGTAGCCAGACAGTGGGACATTGTACGAAAAGTCAGCACACTCAGCACGGATAGTGCGCGCAACATGATTGCAGCATCCAGGCAGCTCCCGTTGGAGCATATATGCCTTGAGCTGCACATAGCTCCAACGATCCATCACAGTGTCTCCACACACACACGCACACGCACACGCACACGCACACACACACACACACACACACACACACACACACACACACACACACACACAATTATTGTATGAGAGAGGTTCCAGGTTGAATTGAAGCGAATATTTGTAATGTTCAGAGGTTGTTGTGTTTAATATTCATGAGAATATTTGTCATTGTTCAAATGATAATAAACAAACATATAAAGCATATTTGTCCACTCATATGTTGATAAGAGTATTAAAAACTTGAAAGATATCCCTCTAAGGTACATTTAGAACAGATAAAAAATGTGCGATTAATTTGCGATTAATCGCGATTAACTATGGACAATCATGCGATTAATCGCGATTAAATATTTTAATCGACTGACAGCCCTAATTAATACATAAATTACCAGATGCTTAATCTACTATGTCAAGTACCAAGGTGGTATCTACCATATGACACAAGGCCCACCGGCTGAACAATGGATTTCATTATCAGACTTACCCCCGGCTCTCAGAGTCCTCCCCAGATCGTCTCTTTCCTCAGACAGGTTTTTGTTAGTTGCCACCATATCTGAAACAGAAATTCTATTGTGATGTTTGTTTCCTTTTAATGCTGTCATTTTGAGTGAGACGTTTTTATTTTCAAAGAATCAGGTTAGTAGTAGTTTGTTTTGTTAAGTTTAGTTTAAATTTAGCATGAAAAAATGATTGTATTCCCTCTTACAGCTACAAAAGAGCTGAGGTGTTATCAATGACAAACCTGAAATGATTTCCCAGAGGGTTTATGAGCAAAGATACACCATTTATAAATTTTCTGACCACTTGGGGTTGTTCAAATCGTGTTTTCTTTGTGTCACTTCAGTGTTCTGCCTGAGAAAGTACACCTTTATTTCTTTCATATACACCACCAATGTAGTATACCTTATACCCCTTCCGATCAAAAACCTGATTATTGCAGTAGTTTCATCTTAATACTTACCAAGGTTGATTCTCTTCAACTTGTCTCTCTCCTCAGTCAAGGAGTTTTGCTGTGAAACTGTCATTTTTAATTTTGCCTCCAGATCTAAAACAGAATTCCCATTGTATATTATGTTAATCTATCAATGATAATGTATGGATCCATGTTTCCTTTTCTTAAACAACACCATATCATGTTTTCAGGAAATTCATTCTGCTAAACTGTCCTGTTGAATGGAGAGGCTGTCATTATTTTCAACAGAACCATATCAGTTATACAGGATATGTTATGTTCAGTTACGTATATTTGTGAAGAAAATAAATATTGTGATCACCGTTATCAACAACAGCTGTATCATATCCTCTGTTTAAATGTGTAAGATAAGTCATTTAAATTTAAAACGTAAAAAAAAAAATGAACTATCATTATCAACAGAATGTGAAGAGCTTACGATGTTGACGTAACTTCAAAAACATCTATATGTTGTTCTGCAGAGATAAGCATGCTAACTGACTAGCCGCTGCACATCATTCAGCATGCATGTTTCTTGATGTTCTGAGTTTGTATCTTTATGGTTTATTGCACCTATTGTAGGTTGCTTTGGATAAAAGCCTCAGATAAATAAAATAATATTTTGTTACCTAATGTGATATTCAGTACCGATTAGGTACGATATTCCCCTTCAGATCAAACCCCTGATTATTGCAGTAGTTTTTGCACTACTAAATACTGGTAATAATTACATTAATTATGTGACCATCTATGTTTCATGTTTCCTGTAGATATTTAATTGCTAACTGCACTTTTAAGTGTGCAGTTTTACTATTATGCTGCTGTGTTTATTGTATTTTTGTAACTCTGGCACAACAATTTCCTTCAGGATGAATAAAGTCTTATCTTATCTTATCTTAATACTTACCAAGGTTGATTCTCTTCAACTCGTCTCGTTCTTCAGTCAGGGAGTTTTGCTCTGAAACTTCAATTTTAGTGAAGAGGTTACCAACAAAATGTGATTATGTGTCCAAATAAACATATGATTGAGTGTAAAAACTAAATGTCTGAGCTGGCTTTGTTGAAAATAAAGCACACATTATAGTTCGGTAAAAAAAAAGAAAATAAACAAGTTCACGCTGTGAAAAGGGCAATTGTTTCATTCCTTTACCTGAGTCACATATTAAACATTTTATTTTGTATTTCTGATCCTATTGTATGTATACCCCGATGTACAGGGATACGTTTCTCAAAAGCAATCAGGGCAACTCGAGTTTGATACTCAAACCTGGGTGTTGACCATTTGCACCAGAAGTGAGAGGCACAAATTAAGAAGATTTTAAAAGAGCAAAACAGAGGGAAACATTGAGAGCAGCTTGTAGAAAATACAGGAGTCCAAAGCTCAAGTGTCTATTTCACTTTAATAATTGACCTTATCATTGTACCTACCATAGTCCTTCACAGTTCTCTTCAGGTCATCTCTCTCCTCAGTCAGGTTTTTGCCAATGGCCTCCAGATCTAAAACAGAATTCCCAATGTCTATTATGTTCATCTATCAATGATAATGTATGGGTCTTTGTTTCCTTTTCTTAATCTAACACCATATCATGTTTTCAGGAAATTATTTCTGCCAAACAATCCTGTTGAATGGACCAGATAAGTATTACGATATTCTGTATGTTTAGTTCAGTTAAGTATATTTGTGAAGAAAAACATATTGTGTTCCCTTTTTACAGCCACAAAACCAAGAGCCAAGGTGTTTTCAACAACATCTGTTTCATTTCCTCTTCTTAAATGTTTAAGATAAGACAGAATTTATCATTAAAACATAAACTAATGAACTATCATTATCAGCAGAATGTGAAGAACCTAAAGTGTTGACGTGTCTTCAAAGAGGTTTACGTGTTGCAGAGATTTCTACAGAAATAACGTGATTAGCATGCTAACTGACTAGCTGGTTGCCCGTCAGTTAGTATGCTGACTGATCTGCATGTTTCTTGATGTTCTGAGTTTGTATCTTTATGGTTTATTTCACTTATTGTATGTTGCTTTGGATAAAAGCCTCAGATACAAAATAATAATATAGTGTAACCTAATCAATCAACCAATCAATGTGTATTTATATAGTCCAATATCACAAATGTTACATTGTCTCAGTGGACTTCACAGTTTGTACATAATATCAGTATGACAATACGACACCCTCTGTCCTTAGACCCTCACATCGTACAAGGAAAAACTTCCAGAGAAAACCCACAGTTTTAAAGGGGAAATGGGAGAAACCTCAGGGAGAGCAACAGAGGAGGGATCCCTCTCCCAGGACGGACAGACGTGCAATAGATGCCCTGTGTAAATTGAAAAGATAATACATTTACAACATAGGTAGTCCAAATGTTTGGAAATGCATGTGTCTATAATAAGAAGATGAATCCACGAGGATCTCCATCCAGGACTCATGATCCATGTATCTAATGTGATATTTAGTCCTGATTAAGTACGATGTACCCCTTCCGATCAAACCCCTGATTATTGCAGAAGTCTCATCTCAATACTTACCAAGGTTGATTCTCTTCAACTCGTCTCGCTCTTCAGTCAGGGAGTTTTGCTCTGAAACTTAATTTTCAATTTTATTGAAGAGGTTACCAACTAAATGTGATTATGTGTCCAAATAAACATATGATTGAGTGTAAAAACTAAATGTCTGAGCTGGCTTTGTTGAAAATAAAGCACAAATTATAGTTCAGTAAAGAAAAAGAAAAGAAAAAAGAAGCAAGTACACGCTTTGAAAAGGGTAATTGTTTCATTCCTTTTCCTGAGTTTTTTTTATTATATATTTTATTTTGTATTTCTGATCCTATTGTCTGTATACCCTGATGTACAGTGATACATTTCTAAAAAGCAATCAGGGCAACTAGAGTTGATACTCAAACCTGGGTGTTGACCATTTGCACCAGAAGTGAGAGGCACAAATTAAGAAGACTTTAAAAGAGCAAAACAGAGGGAAATATTGAGAGCAGCTTGTAGAAAATACAGGAGTCCAAAGCTCAAGTGTGTCTTTCACTTTAAACAATTGACCTTATCATTGTACCTACCATAGTCCTTCACAGTTCTCTTCAGGTCATCTCTCTCCTCAGTCAGGTTTTTGCCAATGGCCTCCAGATCTAAAACAGAATTCCCAATGTCTATTATGTTCATCTATCAATGATAATGTATGGGTCTTTGTTTCCTTTTCTTAATCTAACACCATATCATGTTTTCAGGAAATTATTTCTGCCAAACAATCCTGTTGAATGGACCAGATAAGTATTACGATATTCTGTATGTTTAGTTCAGTTAAGTATATTTGTGAAGAAAAAACATATTGTGTTCCCTTTTTACAGCCACAAAACCAAGAGCCAAGGTGTTTTCAACAACATCTGTTTCATTTCCTCTTCTTAAATGTGTAAGATAAGACAGAATTTATCATTAAAACATAAACTAATGAACTATCATTATCAGCAGAATGTGAAGAACCTAAAGTGTTGACGTGTCTTCAAAGAGGTTTACGTGTTGCAGAGATTTCTACAGAAATAACGTGATTAGCATGCTAACTGACTAGCTGGTTGCCCGTCAGTTAGTATGCTGACTGATTTGCATGTTTCTTGATGTTCTGAGTTTGTATCTTTATGGTTTATTTCACTTATTGTATGTTGCTTTGGATAAAAGCCTCAGATACAAAATAATAATATAGTGTAACCTAATCAATCAACCAATCAATGTGTATTTATATAGTCCAATATCACAAATGTTACATTGTCTCAGTGGACTTCACAGTTTGTACATAATATCAGTATGACAATACAACACCCTCTGTCCTTAGACCCTCACATCGTACAAGGAAAAACTTCCAGAGAAAACCCACAGTTTAAAGGGGGAAATGGGAGAAACCTCAGGGAGAGCAACAGAGGAGGGATCCCTCTCCCAGGACGGACAGACGTGCAATAGATGCCCGTGTGTAAATTGAAAAGATAATACATTTACAACATAGGTAGTCCAAATGTTTGGAAATGCATGTGTCTATAATAAGAAGATGAATCCACGAGGATCTCCATCCAGGACTCATGATCCATGTATCTAATGTGATATTTAGTCCTGATTAAGTACGATGTACCCCTTCCGATCAAATCCCTGATTATTGCAGAAGTCTCATCTCAATACTTACCAAGGTTGATTCTCTTCAACTCGTCTCGCTCTTCAGTCAGGGAGTTTTGCTCTGAAACTTAATTTTCAATTTTATTGAAGAGGTTACCAACTAAATGTGATTATGTGTCCAAATAAACATATGATTGAGTGTAAAAACTAAATGTCTGATCTGGCTTTGTTGAAAATAAAGCACAAATTATAGTTCAGTAAAGAAAAAGAAAAAGAAAAAAGAAGCAAGTACACGCTTTGAAAAGGGTAATTGTTTCATTCCTTTTCCTGAGTTTTTTTTATTATATATTTTATTTTGTATTTCTGATCCTATTGTATGTATACCCTGATGTACAGTGATACATTTCTAAAAAGCAATCAGGGCAACTAGAGTTTGATACTCAAACCTGGGTGTTGACCATTTGCACCAGAAGTGAGAGGCACAAATTAAGAAGACTTTAAAAGAGCAAAACAGAGGGAAATATTGAGAGCAGCTTGTAGAAAATACAGGAGTCCAAAGCTCAAGTGTGTCTTTCACTTTAACAATTGACCTTATCATTGTACCTACCATAGTCCTTCACAGTTCTCTTCAGGTCATCTCTCTCCTCAGTCAGGTGTTTGCCAATGGCCTCCAGATCTAAAACAGAATTCCCAATGTCTATTATGTTCATCTATCAATGATAATGTATGGGTCTTTGTTTCCTTTTCTTAATCTAACACCATATCATGTTTTCAGGAAATTATTTCTGCCAAACAATCCTGTTGAATGGACCAGATAAGTATTACGATATTCTGTATGTTTAGTTCAGTTAAGTATATTTGTGAAGAAAAACATATTGTGTTCCCTTTTTACAGCACAAAACCAAGAGCCAAGGTGTTTTCAACAACATCTGTTTCATTTCCTCTTCTTAAATGTGTAAGATAAGACAGAATTTATCATTAAAACATAAACTAATGAACTATCATTATCAGCAGAATGTGAAGAACCTAAAGTGTTGACGTGTCTTCAAAGAGGTTTACGTGTTGCAGAGATTTCTACAGAAATAACGTGATTAGCATGCTAACTGACTAGCTGGTTGCCCGTCAGTTAGTATGCTGACTGATCTGCATGTTTCTTGATGTTCTGAGTTTGTATCTTTATGGTTTATTTCACTTATTGTATGTTGCTTTGGATAAAAGCCTCAGATACAAAATAATAATATAGTGTAACCTAATCAATCAACCAATCAATGTGTATTTATATAGTCCAATATCACAAATGTTACATTGTCTCAGTGGACTTCACAGTTTGTACATAATATCAGTATGACAATACGACACCCTCTGTCCTTAGACCCTCACATCGTACAAGGAAAAACTTCCAGAGAAAACCCACAGTTTAAAGGGGGAAATGGGAGAAACCTCAGGGAGAGCAACAGAGGAGGGATCCCCTCCCAGGACGGACAGACGTGCAATAGATGCCGTGTGTAAATTGAAAAGATAATACATTTACAACATAGGTAGTCCAAATGTTTGGAAATGCATGAGTCCTATAATAAGAAGATGAATCCACGAGGATCTCCATCCAGGACTCATGATCCATGTATCTAATGTGATATTTAGTCCTGATTAAGTACGATGTACCCCTTCCGATCAAACCCCTGATTATTGCAGAAGGTCTCAATCTCAATACTTACCAAGGTTGATTCTCTTCAACTCGTCTCGCTCTTCAGTCAGGGAGTTTTGCTCTGAAACTTAATTTTCAATTTTATTGAAGAGGTTACCAACTAAATGTGATTATGTGTCCAAATAAACATATGATTGAGTGTAAAAACTAAATGTCTGAGCTGGCTTTGTTGAAAATAAAGCACAAATTATAGTTCAGTAAAGAAAAAGAAAAGAAAAAAGAAGCAAGTACACGCTTTGAAAAGGGTAATTGTTTCATTCCTTTCCTGAGTTTTTTTTATTATATATTTTATTTTGTATTTCTGATCCTATTGTCTGTATACCCTGATGTACAGTGATACATTTCTAAAAAGCAATCAGGGCAACTAGAGTTTGATACTCAAACCTGGGTGTTGACCATTTGCACCAGAAGTGAGAGGCACAAATTAAGAAGACTTTAAAAGAGCAAAACAGAGGGAAATATTGAGAGCAGCTTGTAGAAAATACAGGAGTCCAAAGCTCAAGTGTGTCTTTCACTTTAACAATTGACCTTATCATTGTACCTACCATAGTCCTTCACAGTTCTCTTCAGGTCATCTCTCTCCTCAGTCAGGTTTTTGCCAATGGCCTCCAGATCTAAAACAGAATTCCCAATGTCTATTATGTTCATCTATCAATGATAATGTATGGGTCTTTGTTTCCTTTTCTTAATCTAACACCATATCATGTTTTCAGGAAATTATTTCTGCCAAACAATCCTGTTGAATGGACCAGATAAGTATTACGATATTCTGTATGTTTAGTTCAGTTAAGTATATTTGTGAAGAAAAACATATTGTGTTCCCTTTTTACAGCCACAAAAACCAAGAGCCAAGGTGTTTTCAACAACATCTGTTTCATTTCCTCTTCTTAAATGTGTAAGATAAGACAGAATTTATCATTAAAACATAAACTAATGAACTATCATTATCAGCAGAATGTGAAGAACCTAAAGTGTTGACGTGTCTTCAAAGAGGTTTACGTGTTGCAGAGATTTCTACAGAAATAACGTGATTAGCATGCTAACTGACTAGCTGGTTGCCCGTCAGTTAGTATGCTGACTGATCTGCATGTTTCTTGATGTTCTGAGTTTGTATCTTTATGGTTTATTTCACTTATTGTATGTTGCTTTGGATAAAAGCCTCAGATACAAAATAATAATATAGTGTAACCTAATCAATCAACCAATCAATGTGTATTTATATAGTCCAATATCACAAATGTTACATTGTCTCAGTGGACTTCACAGTTTGTACATAATATCAGTATGACAATACGACACCCTCTGTCCTTAGACCCTCAAATCGTACAAGGAAAAACTTCCAGAGAAAACCCACAGTTTAAAGGGGGAAATGGGAGAAAACCTCAGGGAGAGCAACAGAGGAGGGATCCCTCTCCCAGGACGGACAGACGTGCAATAGATGCCGTGTGTAAATTGAAAAGATAATACATTTACAACATAGGTAGTCCAAATGTTTGGGAAATGCATGTGTCTATAATAAGAAGATGAATCCACGAGGATCTCCATCCAGGACTCATGATCCATGTATCTAATGTGATATTTAGTCCTGATTAAGTACGATGTACCCCTTCCGATCAAACCCCTGATTATTGCAGAAGTCTCATCTCAATACTTACCAAGGTTGATTCTCTTCAACTCGTCTCGCTCTTCAGTCAGGGAGTTTTGCTCTGAAACTTAATTTTCAATTTTATTGAAGAGGTTACCAACTAAATGTGATTAAGTGTCCAAATAAACATATGATTGAGTGTAAAACTAAATGTCTGAGCTGGCTTTGTTGAAAATAAAGCACAAATTATAGTTCAGTAAAGAAAAAGAAAAAGAAAAAAGAAGCAAGTACACGCTTTGAAAAGGGTAATTGTTTCATTCCTTTTCCTGAGTTTTTTTTATTATATATTTTATTTTGTATTTCTGATCCTATTGTATGTATACCCTGATGTACAGTGATACATTTCTAAAAAGCAATCAGGGCAACTAGAGTTTGATACTCAAACCTGGGTGTTGACCATTTGCACCAGAAGTGAGAGGCACAAATTAAGAAGACTTTAAAAGAGCAAAACAGAGGGAAATATTGAGAGCAGCTTGTAGAAAATACAGGAGTCCAAAGCTCAAGTGTGTCTTTCACTTTAACAATTGACCTTATCATTGTACCTACCATAGTCCTTCACAGTTCTCTTCAGGTCATCTCTCTCCTCAGTCAGGTGTTTGCCAATGGCCTCCAGATCTAAAACAGAATTCCCAATGTCTATTATGTTCATCTATCAATGATAATGTATGGGTCTTTGTTTCCTTTTCTTAATCTAACACCATATCATGTTTTCAGGAAATTATTTCTGCCAAACAATCCTGTTGAATGGACCAGATAAGTATTACGATATTCTGTATGTTTAGTTCAGTTAAGTATATTTGTGAAGAAAAACATATTGTGTTCCCTTTTTACAGCCACAAAACCAAGAGCCAAGGTGTTTTCAACAACATCTGTTTCATTTCCTCTTCTTAAATGTGTAAGATAAGACAGAATTTATCATTAAAACATAAACTAATGAACTATCATTATCAGCAGAATGTGAAGAACCTAAAGTGTTGACGTGTCTTCAAAGAGGTTTACGTGTTGCAGAGATTTCTACAGAAATAACGTGATTAGCATGCTAACTGACTAGCTGGTTGCCCGTCAGTTAGTATGCTGACTGATCTGCATGTTTCTTGATGTTCTGAGTTTGTATCTTTATGGTTTATTTCACTTATTGTATGTTGCTTTGGATAAAAGCCTCAGATACAAAATAATAATATAGTGTAACCTAATCAATCAACCAATCAATGTGTATTTATATAGTCCAATATCACAAATGTTACATTGTCTCAGTGGACTTCACAGTTTGTACATAATATCAGTATGACAATACGACACCCTCTGTCCTTAGACCCTCACATCGTACAAGGAAAAACTTCCAGAGAAAACCCACAGTTTAAAGGGGGAAATGGGAGAAACCTCAGGGAGAGCAACAGAGGAGGGATCCCTCTCCCAGGACGGACAGACGTGCAATAGATGCCGTGTGTAAATTGAAAAGATAATACATTTACAACATAGGTAGTCCAAATGTTTGGAAATGCATGTGTCTATAATAAGAAGATGAATCCACGAGGATCTCCATCCAGGACTCATGATCCATGTATCTAATGTGATATTTAGTCCTGATTAAGTACGATGTACCCCTTCCGATCAAACCCCTGATTATTGCAGAAGTCTCATCTCAATACTTACCAAGGTTGATTCTCTTCAACTCGTCTCGCTCTTCAGTCAGGGAGTTTTGCTCTGAACTTAATTTTCAATTTTATTGAAGAGGTTACCAACTAAATGTGATTATGTGTCCAAATAAACATATGATTGAGTGTAAAAACTAAATGTCTGAGCTGGCTTTGTTGAAAATAAAGCACAAATTATAGTTCAGTAAAGAAAAAGAAAAAGAAAAAGAAGCAAGTACACGCTTTGAAAAGGGTAATTGTTTCATTCCTTTTCCTGAGTTTTTTTTATTATATATTTTATTTTGTATTTCTGATCCTATTGTATGTATACCCTGATGTACAGTGATACATTTCTAAAAAGCAATCAGGGCAACTAGAGTTTGATACTCAAACCTGGGTGTTGACCATTTGCACCAGAAGTGAGAGGCACAAATTAAGAAGACTTTAAAAGAGCAAAACAGAGGGAAATATTGAGAGCAGCTTGTAGAAAATACAGGAGTCCAAAGCTCAAGTGTGTCTTTCACTTTAACAATTGACCTTATCATTGTACCTACCATAGTCCTTCACAGTTTCTCTTCAGGTCATCTCTCTCCTCAGTCAGGTTTTGCCAATGGCCTCCAGATCTAAAACAGAATTCCCAATGTCTATTATGTTCATCTATCAATGATAATGTATGGGTCTTTGTTTCCTTTTCTTAATCTAACACCATATCATGTTTTCAGGAAATTATTTCTGCCAAACAATCCTGTTGAATGGACCAGATAAGTATTACGATATTCTGTATGTTTAGTTCAGTTAAGTATATTTGTGAAGAAAAACATATTGTGTTCCCTTTTTACAGCCACAAAACCAAGAGCCAAGGTGTTTTCAACAACATCTGTTTCATTTCCTCTTCTTAAATTTGTAAGATAAGACAGAATTTATCATTAAAACATAAACTAATGAACTATCATTATCAGCAGAATGTGAAGAACCTAAAGTGTTGACGTGTCTTCAAAGAGGTTTACGTGTTGCAGAGATTTCTACAGAAATAACGTGATTAGCATGCTAACTGACTAGCTGGTTGCCCGTCAGTTAGTATGCTGACTGATTTGCATGTTTCTTGATGTTCTGAGTTTGTATCTTTATGGTTTATTTCACTTATTGTATGTTGCTTTGGATAAAAGCCTCAGATACAAAATAATAATATAGTGTAACCTAATCAATCAACCAATCAATGTGTATTTATATAGTCCAATATCACAAATGTTACATTGTCTCAGTGGACTTCACAGTTTGTACATAATATCAGTATGACAATACAACACCCTCTGTCCTTAGACCCTCACATCGTACAAGGAAAAAACTTCCAGAGAAAACCCACAGTTTAAAGGGGGAAATGGGAGAAACCTCAGGGAGAGCAACAGAGGAGGGATCCCTCTCCCAGGACGGACAGACGTGCAATAGATGCCGTTGTGTAAATTGAAAAGATAATACATTTACAACATAGGTAGTCCAAATTTTGGAAATGCATGTGTCTATAATAAGAAGATGAATCCACGAGGATCTCCATCCAGGACTCATGATCCATGTATCTAATGTGATATTTAGTCCTGATTAAGTACGATGTACCCCTTCCGATCAAATCCCTGATTATTGCAGAAGTCTCATCTCAATACTTACCAAGGTTGATTCTCTTCAACTCGTCTCGCTCTTCAGTCAGGGAGTTTTGCTCTGAACTTAATTTTCAATTTTATTGAAGAGGTTACCAACTAAATGTGATTATGTGTCCAAATAAACATATGATTGAGTGTAAAAACTAAATGTCTGAGCTGGCTTTGTTGAAAATAAAGCACAAATTAATAGTTCAGTAAAGAAAAAGAAAAAGAAAAAAGAAGCAAGTACACGCTTTGAAAAGGGTAATTGTTTCATTCCTTTTCCTGAGTTTTTTTTATTATATATTTTATTTTGTATTTCTGATCCTATTGTATGTATACCCTGATGTACAGTGATACATTTCTAAAAAGCAATCAGGGCAACTAGAGTTTGATACTCAAACCTGGGTGTTGACCATTTGCACCAGAAGTGAGAGGCACAAATTAAGAAGACTTTAAAAGAGCAAAACAGAGGGAAATATTGAGAGCAGCTTGTAGAAAATACAGGAGTCCAAAGCTCAAGTGTGTCTTTCACTTTAACAATTGACCTTATCATTGTACCTACCATAGTCCTTCACAGTTCTCTTCAGGTCATCTCTCTCCTCAGTCAGGTGTTTGCCAATGGCCTCCAGATCTAAAACAGAATTCCCAATGTCTATTATGTTCATCTATCAATGATAATGTATGGGTCTTTGTTTCCTTTTCTTAATCTAACACCATATCATGTTTTTCAGGAAATTATTTCTGCCAAACAATCCTGTTGAATGGACCAGATAAGTATTACGATATTCTGTATGTTTAGTTCAGTTAAGTATATTTTGTGAAGAAAAACATATTGTGTTCCCTTTTTACAGCCACAAAACCAAGAGCCAAGGTGTTTTCAACAACATCTGTTTCATTTCCTCTTCTTAAATGTGTAAGATAAGACAGAATTTATCATTAAAACATAAACTAATGAACTATCATTATCAGCAGAATGTGAAGAACCTAAAGTGTTGACGTGTCTTCAAAGAGGTTTACGTGTTGCAGAGATTTCTACAGAAATAACGTGATTAGCATGCTAACTGACTAGCTGGTTGCCCGTCAGTTAGTATGCTGACTGATCTGCATGTTTCTTGATGTTCTGAGTTTGTATCTTTATGGTTTATTTCACTTATTGTATGTTGCTTTGGATAAAAGCCTCAGATACAAAATAATAATATAGTGTAACCTAATCAATCAACCAATCAATGTGTATTTATATAGTCCAATATCACAAATGTTACATTGTCTCAGTGGACTTCACAGTTTGTACATAATATCAGTATGACAATACGACACCCTCTGTCCTTAGACCCTCACATCGTACAAGGAAAAACTTCCAGAGAAAACCCACAGTTTAAAGGGGGAAATGGGAGAAAACCTCAGGGAGAGCAACAGAGGAGGGATCCCTCTCCCAGGACGGACAGACGTGCAATAGATGCCGTGTGTAAATTGAAAAGATAATACATTTACAACATAGGTAGTCCAAATGTTTGGAAATGCATGTGTCTATAATAAGAAGATGAATCCACGAGGATCTCCATCCAGGACTCATGATCCATGTATCTAATGTGATATTTAGTCCTGATTAAGTACGATGTACCCCTTCCGATCAAACCCCTGATTATTGCAGAAGTCTCATCTCAATTACTTACCAGGTTGATTCTCTTCAACTCGTCTCGCTCTTCAGTCAGGGAGTTTTGCTCTGAAACTTAATTTTCAATTTTATTGAAGAGGTTACCAACTAAATGTGATTATGTGTCCAAATAAACATATGATGAGTGTAAAAACTAAATGTCTGAGCTGGCTTTGTTGAAAATAAAGCACAAATTATAGTTCAGTAAAGAAAAAGAAAAAGAAAAAAGAAGCAAGTACACGCTTTGAAAAGGGTAATTGTTTCATTCCTTTTCCTGAGTTTTTTTTATTATATATTTTATTTTGTATTTCTGATCCTATTGTATGTATACCCTGATGTACAGTGATACATTTCTAAAAGCAATCAGGGCAACTAGAGTTTGATACTCAAACCTGGGTGTTGACCATTTGCACCAGAAGTGAGAGGCACAAATTAAGAAGACTTTAAAAGAGCAAAACAGAGGGAAATATTGAGAGCAGCTTGTAGAAAATACAGGAGTCCAAAGCTCAAGTGTGTCTTTCACTTTAACAATTGACCTTATCATTGTACCTACCATAGTCCTTCACAGTTCTCTTCAGGTCATCTCTCTCCTCAGTCAGGTTTTTGCCAATGGCCTCCAGATCTAAAACAGAATTCCCAATGTCTATTATGTTCATCTATCAATGATAATGTATGGGTCTTTGTTTCCTTTTCTTAATCTAACACCATATCATGTTTTCAGGAAATTCATTCTGCTAAACTGTCCTGTTGAATGGAGAGGCTGTCATTATTTTCAACAGAACCATATCAGTTATACAGGATATGTTATGTTCAGTTACGTATATTTGTGAAGAAAATAAATATTGTGATCACCGTTATCAACAACAGCTGTATCATATCCTCTGTTTAAATGTGTAAGATAAGTAATTTAAATTTAAAACGTAAAAAAAAAAATGAACTATCATTATCAACAGAATGTGAAGAGCTTACGATGTTGACGTAACTTCAAAAACATCTATATGTTGTTCTGCAGAGATAAGCATGCTAACTGACTAGCCGCTGCACATCATTCAGCATGCATGTTTCTTGATGTTCTGAGTTTGTATCTTTATAGTTTATTGCACCTATTGTAGGTTGCTTTGGATAAAAGCCTCAGATAAATAAAATAATATTTTGTTACCTAATGTGATATTCAGTACCGATTAGGTACGATATTCCCCTTCAGATCAAACCCCTGATTATTGCAGTAGTTTTTTGCACTACTAAATACTGGTAATAATTACATTAATTATGTGACCATCTATGTTTCATGTTTCCTGTAGATATTTAATTGCTAACTGCACTTTTAAGTGTACAGTTTTACTATTATGCTGCTGTGTTTATTGTATTTTTGTAACTCTGGCACAACAATTTCCTTCAGGATGAAATAAAGGTCTTATCTTATCTTATCTTAATACTTACCAAGGTTTGATTCTCTTCAACTCGTCTCGTTCTTCAGTCAGGGAGTTTTGCTCTGAAACTTCAATTTAGTGAAGAGGTTACCAACCAAAATGTGATTATGTGTCCAAATAAACATATGATTGAGTGTAAAAACTAAATGTCTGAGCTGGCTTTGTTGAAAATAAAGCACACATTATAGTTCGGTAAAAAAAAAGAAAAGAAACAAGTTCACGCTTTGAAAAGGGCAATTGTTTCATTCCTTTACCTGAGTCACATATTAAACATTTTGTTTTGTATTTCTGATCCTATTGTATGTATACCCCGATGTACAGGGATACGTTTCTCAAAAGCAATCAGGGCAACTCGAGTTTGATACTCAAACCTGGGTGTTGACCATTTGCACCAGAAGTGAGAGGCACAAATTAAGAAGATTTTAAAAGAGCAAACAGAGGGAAACATTGAGAGCAGCTTGTAGAAAATACAGGAGTCCAAAGCTCAAGTGTGTCTTTCACTTTAATAATTGACCTTATCATTGTACCTACCATAGTCCTTCACAGCTCTCTTCAGGTCATCTCTCTCCTCAGTCAGGTTTTTGCCAATGGCCTCCAGATCTAAAACAGAATTCCCAATGTCTATTATGTTCATCTATCTATGATAATGTATGGGTCTTTGTTTCCTTTTCTTAATCTAACACCATATCATGTTTTCAGGAAATTATTTCTGCCAAACAATCCTGTTGAATGGACCAGATAAGTATTACGATATTCTGTATGTTTAGTTCAGTTAAGTATATTTGTGAAGAAAAACATATTGTGTTCCCTTTTTACAGCCACAAAACCAAGAGCCAAGGTGTTTTCAACAACATCTGTTTCATTTCCTCTTCTTAAATGTGTAAGATAAGACAGAATTTATCATTAAAACATAAACTAATGAACTATCATTATCAGCAGAATGTGAAGAACCTAAAGTGTTGACGTGTCTTCAAAGCGGTTTACGTGTTGCAGAGATTTCTACAGAAATAACGTGATTAGCATGCTAACTGACTAGCTGGTTGCCCGTCAGTTAGTATGCTGACTGATCTGCATGTTTCTTGATGTTCTGAGTTTGTATCTTTATGGTTTATTTCACTTATTGTATGTTGCTTTGGATAAAAGCCTCAGATACAAAATAATAATATAGTGTAACCTAATCAATCAACCAATCAATGTGTATTTATATAGTCCAATATCACAAATGTTACATTGTCTCAGTGGACTTCACAGTTTGTACATAATATCAGTATGACAATACGACACCCTCTGTCCTTAGACCCTCACATCGTACAAGGAAAAACTTCCAGAGAAAACCCACAGTTTAAAGGGGGGAAATGGGAGAAACCTCAGGGAGAGCAACAGAGGAGGGATCCCTCTCCCAGGACGGACAGACGTGCAATAGATGCCGTGTGTAAATTGAAAAGATAATACATTTACAACATAGGTAGTCCAAATGTTTGGAAATGCATGTGTCTATAATAAGAAGATGAATCCACGAGGATCTCCATCCAGGACTCATGATCCATGTATCTAATGTGATATTTAGTCCTGATTAAGTACGAATGTACCCCTTCCGATCAAACCCCTGATTATTGCAGAAGTCTCATCTCAATACTTACCAAGGTTGATTCTCTTCAACTCGTCTCGCTCTTCAGTCAGGGAGTTTTGCTCTGAAACTTAATTTTCAATTTTATTGAAGAGGTTACCAACTAAATGTGATTATGTGTCCAAATAAACATATGATTGAGTGTAAAAACTAAATGTCTGAGCTGGCTTTGTTGAAAATAAAGCACAAATTATAGTTCAGTAAAGAAAAAGAAAAAGAAAAAAAGAAGCAAGTACACGCTTTGAAAAGGGTAATTGTTTCATTCCTTTTCCTGAGTTTTTTTTATTATATATTTTATTTTGTATTTCTGATCCTATTGTATGTATACCCTGATGTACAGTGATACATTTCTAAAAAGCAATCAGGGCAACTAGAGTTTGATACTCAAACCTGGGTGTTGACCATTTGCACCAGAAGTGAGAGGCACAAATTAAGAAGACTTTAAAAGAGCAAAACAGAGGGAAATATTAAGAGCAGCTTGTAGAAAATACACGAGTCCAAAGCTCAAGTGTGTCTTTCACTTTAACAATTGACCTTATCATTGTACCTACCATAGTCCTTCACAGTTCTCTTCAGGTCATCTCTCTCCTCAGTCAGGTTTTTGCCAATGGCCTCCAGATCTAAAACAGAATTCCCAATGTCTATTATGTTCATCTATCAATGATAATGTATGGGTCTTTGTTTCCTTTTCTTAATCTAACACCATATCATGTTTTCAGGAAATTATTTCTGCCAAACAATCCTGTTGAATGGACCAGATAAGTATTACGATATTCTGTATGTTTAGTTCAGTTAAGTATATTTGTGAAGAAAAACATATTGTGTTCCCTTTTTACAGCCACAAAACCAAGAGCCAAGGTGTTTTCAACAACATCTGTTTCATTTCCTCTTCTTAAATGTGTAAGATAAGACAGAATTTATCATTAAAACATAAACTAATGAACTATCATTATCAGCAGAATGTGAAGAACCTAAAGTGTTGACGTGTCTTCAAAGAGGTTTACGTGTTGCAGAGATTTCTACAGAAATAACGTGATTAGCATGCTAACTGACTAGCTGGTTGCCCGTCAGTTAGTATGCTGACTGATCTGCATGTTTCTTGATGTTCTGAGTTTGTATCTTCATGGTTTATTTCACTTATTGTATGTTGCTTTGGATAAAAGCCTCAGATACAAAATAATAATATAGTGTAACCTAATCAATCAACCAATCAATGTGTATTTATATAGTCCAATATCACAAATGTTACATTGTCTCAGTGGACTTCACAGTTTGTACATAATATCAGTATGACAATACGACACCCTCTGTCCTTAGACCCTCACATCGTACAAGGAAAAACTCCCAGAGAAAACCCACAGTTTAAAGGGGGAAATGGGAGAAACCTCAGGGAGAGCAACAGAGGAGGGATCCCTCTCCCAGGACGGACAGACGTGCAATAGATGCCGTGTGTAAATTGAAAAGATAATACATTTACAACATAGGTAGTCCAAATGTTTGGAAATGCATGTGTCTATAATAAGAAGATGAATCCACGAGGATCTCCATCCAGGACTCATGATCCATGTATCTAATGTGATATTTAGTCCTGATTAAGTACGATGTACCCCTTCCGATCAAACCCCTGATTATTGCAGAAGTCTCATCTCAATACTTACCAAGGTTGATTCTCTTCAACTCGTCTCGCTCTTCAGTCAGGGAGTTTTGCTCTGAAACTTAATTTTCAATTTTATTGAAGAGGTTACCAACTAAATGTGATTATGTGTCCAAATAAACATATGATTGAGTGTAAAAACTAAATGTCTGAGCTGGCTTTGTTGAAAATAAAGCACAAATTATAGTTCAGTAAAGAAAAAGAAAAAGAAAAAAGAAGCAAGTACACGCTTTGAAAAGGGTAATTGTTTTCATTCCTTTTCCTGAGTTTTTTTTATTATATATTTTATTTTGTATTTCTGATCCTATTGTATGTATACCCTGATGTACAGTGATACATTTCTAAAAAGCAATCAGGGCAACTAGAGTTTGATACTCAAACCTGGGTGTTGACCATTTGCACCAGAAGTGAGAGGCACAAATTAAGAAGACTTTAAAAGAGCAAAACACAGGGAAATATTGAGAGCAGCTTGTAGAAAATACAGGAGTCCAAAGCTCAAGTGTGTCTTTCACTTTAACAATTGACCTTATCATTGTACCTACCATAGTCCTTCACAGTTCTCTTCAGGTCATCTCTCTCCTCAGTCAGGTGTTTGCCAATGGCCTCCAGATCTAAAACAGAATTCCCAATGTCTATTATGTTCATCTATCAATGATAATGTATGGGTCTTTGTTTCCTTTTCTTAATCTAACACCATATCATGTTTTCAGGAAATTATTTCTGCCAAACAATCCTGTTGAATGGACCAGATAAGTATTACGATATTCTGTATGTTTAGTTCAGTTAAGTATATTTGTGAAGAAAAACATATTGTGTTCCCTTTTTACAGCCACAAAACCAAGAGCCAAGGTGTTTTCAACAACATCTGTTTCATTTCCTCTTCTTAAATGTGTAAGATAAGACAGAATTTATCATTAAAACATAAACTAATGAACTATCATTATCAGCAGAATGTGAAGAACCTAAAGTGTTGACGTGTCTTCAAAGAGGTTTACGTGTTGCAGAGATTTCTACAGAAATAACGTGATTAGCATGCTAACTGACTAGCTGGTTGCCCGTCAGTTAGTATGCTGACTGATCTGCATGTTTCTTGATGTTCTGAGTTTGTATCTTTATGGTTTATTTCACTTATTGTATGTTGCTTTGGATAAAAGCCTCAGATACAAAATAATAATATAGTGTAACCTAATCAATCAACCAATCAATGTGTATTTATATAGTCCAATATCACAAATGTTACATTGTCTCAGTGGACTTCACAGTTTGTACATAATATCAGTATGACAATACGACACCCTCTGTCCTTAGACCCTCACATCGTACAAGGAAAAACTTCCAGAGAAAACCCACAGTTTAAAGGGGGGAAATGGGAGAAACCTCAGGGAGAGCAACAGAGGAGGGATCCCTCTCCCAGGACGGACAGACGTGCAATAGATGCCGTGTGTAAATTGAAAAGATAATACATTTACAACATAGGTAGTCCAAATGTTTGGAAATGCATGTGTCTATAATAAGAAGATGAATCCACGAGGATCTCCATCCAGGACTCATGATCCATGTATCTAATGTGATATTTAGTCCTGATTAAGTACGAATGTACCCCTTCCGATCAAACCCCTGATTATTGCAGAAGTCTCATCTCAATACTTACCAAGGTTGATTCTCTTCAACTCGTCTCGCTCTTCAGTCAGGGAGTTTTGCTCTGAAACTTAATTTTCAATTTTATTGAAGAGGTTACCAACTAAATGTGATTATGTGTCCAAATAAACATATGATTGAGTGTAAAAACTAAATGTCTGAGCTGGCTTTGTTGAAAATAAAGCACAAATTATAGTTCAGTAAAGAAAAAGAAAAAGAAAAAAGAAGCAAGTACACGCTTTGAAAAGGGTAATTGTTTCATTCCTTTTCCTGAGTTTTTTTTATTATATATTTTATTTTGTATTTCTGATCCTATTGTCTGTATACCCTGATGTACAGTGATACATTTCTAAAAAGCAATCAGGGCAACTAGAGTTTGATACTCAAACCTGGGTGTTGACCATTTGCACCAGAAGTGAGAGGCACAAATTAAGAAGACTTTAAAAGAGCAAAACAGAGGGAAATATTAAGAGCAGCTTGTAGAAAATACACGAGTCCAAAGCTCAAGTGTGTCTTTCACTTTAACAATTGACCTTATCATTGTACCTACCATAGTCCTTCACAGTTCTCTTCAGGTCATCTCTCTCCTCAGTCAGGTTTTTGCCAATGGCCTCCAGATCTAAAACAGAATTCCCAATGTCTATTATGTTCATCTATCAATGATAATGTATGGGTCTTTGTTTCCTTTTCTTAATCTAACACCATATCATGTTTTCAGGAAATTATTTCTGCCAAACAATCCTGTTGAATGGACCAGATAAGTATTACGATATTCTGTATGTTTAGTTCAGTTAAGTATATTTGTGAAGAAAAACATATTGTGTTCCCTTTTTACAGCCACAAAACCAAGAGCCAAGGTGTTTTCAACAACATCTGTTTCATTTCCTCTTCTTAAATGTGTAAGATAAGACAGAATTTATCATTAAAACATAAACTAATGAACTATCATTATCAGCAGAATGTGAAGAACCTAAAGTGTTGACGTGTCTTCAAAGAGGTTTACGTGTTGCAGAGATTTCTACAGAAATAACGTGATTAGCATGCTAACTGACTAGCTGGTTGCCCGTCAGTTAGTATGCTGACTGATCTGCATGTTTCTTGATGTTCTGAGTTTGTATCTTTATGGTTTATTTCACTTATTGTATGTTGCTTTGGATAAAAGCCTCAGATACAAAATAATAATATAGTGTAAACCTAATCAATCAACCAATCAATGTGTATTTATATAGTCCAATATCACAAATGTTACATTGTCTCAGTGGACTTCACAGTTTGTACATAATATCAGTATGACAATACGACACCCTCTGTCCTTAGACCCTCACATCGTACAAGGAAAAACTTCCAGAGAAAACCCACAGTTTAAAGGGGGAAATGGGAGAAACCTCAGGGAGAGCAACAGAGGAGGGATCCCTCTCCCAGGACGGACAGACGTGCAATAGATGCCGTGTGTAAATTGAAAAGATAATACATTTACAACATAGGTAGTCCAAATGTTTGGAAATGCATGTGTCTATAATAAGAAGATGAATCCACGAGGATCTCCATCCAGGACTCATGATCCATGTATCTAATGTGATATTTAGTCCTGATTAAGTACGATGTACCCCTTCCGATCAAACCCCTGATTATTGCAGAAGTCTCATCTCAATACTTACCAAGGTTGATTCTCTTCAACTCGTCTCGCTCTTCAGTCAGGGAGTTTTGCTCTGAAACTTAATTTTCAATTTTATTGAAGAGGTTACCAACTAAATGTGATTATGTGTCCAAATAAACATATGATTGAGTGTAAAAACTAAATGTCTGAGCTGGCTTTGTTGAAAATAAAGCACAAATTATAGTTCAGTAAAGAAAAAGAAAAAGAAAAAAAGAAGCAAGTACACGCTTTGAAAAGGGTAATTGTTTCATTCCTTTTCCTGAGTTTTTTTTATTATATATTTTATTTTGTATTTCTGATCCTATTGTATGTATACCCTGATGTACAGTGATACATTTCTAAAAAGCAATCAGGGCAACTAGAGTTTGATACTCAAACCTGGGTGTTGACCATTTGCACCAGAAGTGAGAGGCACAAATTAAGAAGACTTTAAAAGAGCAAAACAGAGGGAAATATTGAGAGCAGCTTGTAAAAAATACAGGAGTCCAAAGCTCAAGTGTGTCTTTCACTTTAACAATTGACCTTATCATTGTACCTACCATAGTCCTTCACAGTTCTCTTCAGGTCATCTCTCTCCTCAGTCAGGTTTTTGCCAATGGCCTCCAGATCTAAAACAGAATTCCCAATGTCTATTATGTTCATCTATCAATGATAATGTATGGGTCTTTGTTTCCTTTTCTTAATCTAACACCATATCATGTTTTCAGGAAATTATTTCTGCCAAACAATCCTGTTGAATGGACCAGATAAGTATTACGATATTCTGTATGTTTAGTTCAGTTAAGTATATTTGTGAAGAAAAACATATTGTGTTCCCTTTTTACAGCCACAAAACCAAGAGCCAAGGTGTTTTCAACAACATCTGTTTAATTTCCTCTTCTTAAATGTGTAAGATAAGACAGAATTTATCATTAAAACATAAACTAATGAACTATCATTATCAGCAGAATGTGAAGAACCTAAAGTGTTGACGTGTCTTCAAAGAGGTTTACGTGTTGCAGAGATTTCTACAGAAATAACGTGATTAGCATGCTAACTGACTAGCTGGTTGCCCGTCAGTTAGTATGCTGACTGATCTGCATGTTTCTTGATGTTCTGAGTTTGTATCTTTATGGTTTATTTCACTTATTGTATGTTGCTTTGGATAAAAGCCTCAGATACAAAATAATAATATAGTGTCACCTAATCAATCAACCAATCAATGTGTATTTATATAGTCCAATATCACAAATGTTACATTGTCTCAGTGGACTTCACAGTTTGTACATAATATCAGTATGACAATACGACACCCTCTGTCCTTAGACCCTCACATCGTACAAGGAAAAACTTCCAGAGAAAACCCACAGTTTAAAGGGGGAAATGGGAGAAACCTCAGGGAGAGCAACAGAGGAGGGATCCCTCTCCCAGGACGGACAGACGTGCAATAGATGCCGTGTGTAAATTGAAAAGATAATACATTTACAACATAGGTAGTCCAAATGTTTGGAAATGCATGTGTCTATAATAAGAAGATGAATCCACGAGGATCTCCATCCAGGACTCATGATCCATGTATCTAATGTGATATTTAGTCCTGATTAAGTACGAAGTACCCCTTCCGATCAAACCCCTGATTATTGCAGAAGTCTCATCTCAATACTTACCAAGGTTGATTCTCTTCAACTCGTCTCGCTCTTCAGTCAGGGAGTTTTGCTCTGAAACTTAATTTTCAATTTTATTGAAGAGGTTACCAACTAAATGTGATTATGTGTCCAAATAAACATATGATTGAGTGTAAAAACTAAATGTCTGAGCTGGCTTTGTTGAAAATAAAGCACAAATTATAGTTCAGTAAAGAAAAAGAAAAAGAAAAAAGAAGCAAGTACACGCTTTGAAAAGGGTAATTGTTTCATTCCTTTTCCTGAGTTTTTTTTATTATATATTTTATTTTGTATTTCTGATCCTATTGTCTGTATACCCTGATGTACAGTGATACATTTCTAAAAAGCAATCAGGGCAACTAGAGTTTGATACTCAAACCTGGGTGTTGACCATTTGCACCAGAAGTGAGAGGCACAAATTAAGAAGACTTTAAAAGAGCAAAACAGAGGGAAATATTAAGAGCAGCTTGTAGAAAATACAGGAGTCCAAAGCTCAAGTGTGTCTTTCACTTTAACAATTGACCTTATCATTGTACCTACCATAGTCCTTCACAGTTCTCTTCAGGTCATCTCTCTCCTCAGTCAGGTTTTTGCCAATGGCCTCCAGATCTAAAACAGAATTCCCAATGTCTATTATGTTCATCTATCAATGATAATGTATGGGTCTTTGTTTCCTTTTCTTAATCTAACACCATATCATGTTTTCAGGAAATTATTTCTGCCAAACAATCCTGTTGAATGGACCAGATAAGTATTACGATATTCTGTATGTTTAGTTCAGTTAAGTATATTTGTGAAGAAAAACATATTGTGTTCCCTTTTTACAGCCACAAAACCAAGAGCCAAGGTGTTTTCAACAACATCTGTTTCATTTCCTCTTCTTAAATGTGTAAGATAAGACAGAATTTATCATTAAAACATAAACTAATGAACTATCATTATCAGCAGAATGTGAAGAACCTAAAGTGTTGACGTGTCTTCAAAGAGGTTTACGTGTTGCAGAGATTTCTACAGAAATAACGTGATTAGCATGCTAACTGACTAGCTGGTTGCCCGTCAGTTAGTATGCTGACTGATCTGCATGTTTCTTGATGTTCTGAGTTTGTATCTTTATGGTTTATTTCACTTATTGTATGTTGCTTTGGATAAAAGCCTCAGATACAAAATAATAATATAGTGTAACCTAATCAATCAACCAATCAATGTGTATTTATATAGTCCAATATCACAAATGTTACATTGTCTCAGTGGACTTCACAGTTTGTACATAATATCAGTATGACAATACGACACCCTCTGTCCTTAGACCCTCACATCGTACAAGGAAAAACTTCCAGAGAAAACCCACAGTTTAAAGGGGGAAATGGGAGAAACCTCAGGGAGAGCAACAGAGGAGGGATCCCTCTCCCAGGACGGACAGACGTGCAATAGATGCCGTGTGTAAATTGAAAAGATAATACATTTACAACATAGGTAGTCCAAATGTTTGGAAATGCATGTGTCTATAATAAGAAGATGAATCCACGAGGATCTCCATCCAGGACTCATGATCCATGTATCTAATGTGATATTCAGTCCTGATTAAGTACGATGTACCCCTTCCGATCAAACCCCTGATTATTGCAGAAGTCTCATCTCAATACTTACCAAGGTTGATTCTCTTCAACTCGTCTCGCTCTTCAGTCAGGGAGTTTTGCTCTGAAACTTAATTTTCAATTTTATTGAAGAGGTTACCAACTAAATGTGATTATGTGTCCAAATAAACATATGATTGAGTGTAAAAACTAAATGTCTGAGCTGGCTTTGTTGAAAATAAAGCACAAATTATAGTTCAGTAAAGAAAAAGAAAAAGAAAAAAGAAGCAAGTACACGCTTTGAAAAGGGTAATTGTTTCATTCCTTTTCCTGAGTTTTTTTTATTATATATTTTATTTTGTATTTCTGATCCTATTGTATGTATACCCTGATGTACAGTGATACATTTCTAAAAAGCAATCAGGGCAACTAGAGTTTGATACTCAAACCTGGGTGTTGACCATTTGCACCAGAAGTGAGAGGCACAAATTAAGAAGACTTTAAAAGAGCAAAACAGAGGGAAATATTGAGAGCAGCTTGTAGAAAATACAGGAGTCCAAAGCTCAAGTGTGTCTTTCACTTTAACAATTGACCTTATCATTGTACCTACCATAGTCCTTCACAGTTCTCTTCAGGTCATCTCTCTCCTCAGTCAGGTTTTTGCCAATGGCCTCCAGATCTAAAACAGAATTCCCAATGTCTATTATGTTCATCTATCAATGATAATGTATGGGTCTTTGTTTCCTTTTCTTAATCTAACACCATATCATGTTTTCAGGAAATTATTTCTGCCAAACAATCCTGTTGAATGGACCAGATAAGTATTACGATATTCTGTATGTTTAGTTCAGTTAAGTATATTTGTGAAGAAAAACATATTGTGTTCCCTTTTTACAGCCACAAAACCAAGAGCCAAGGTGTTTTCAACAACATCTGTTTCATTTCCTCTTCTTAAATGTGTAAGATAAGACAGAATTTATCATTAAAACATAAACTAATGAACTATCATTATCAGCAGAATGTGAAGAACCTAAAGTGTTGACGTGTCTTCAAAGAGGTTTACGTGTTGCAGAGATTTCTACAGAAATAACGTGATTAGCATGCTAACTGACTAGCTGGTTGCCCGTCAGTTAGTATGCTGACTGATCTGCATGTTTCTTGATGTTCTGAGTTTGTATCTTTATGGTTTATTTCACTTATTGTATGTTGCTTTGGATAAAAGCCTCAGATACAAAACAGCAAAACAGAGGGAAATATTGAGAGCAGCTTGTAGAAAATACAGGAGTCCAAAGCTCAAGTGTGTCTTTCACTTTAACAATTGACCTTATCATTGTACCTACCATAGTCCTTCACAGTTCTCTTCAGGTCATCTCTCTCCTCAGTCCGGTTACTGCAACCGGCCTCCAGATCTAAAACATAATTCTTATTGTTTATTATATTAATCTATCAATGATAATGTATTGGTGTTAATTTCCTCTACCTAATCTAATACCAAGTTATATGTTTTGTTGTTTTCCCAATGGGGATACAGGATTTAACTGGGAGATTATCATCATCATACTTACTGTGGTAGATTCTCTTCATCTCGTCTCTCTCTTCAGTCAGGGAGTTTTGCTGTGAAACTGTCATTTTCAGTGGAGAGGTTACCAACAACATTTGAGTATGTGATCAACTGAAGAAAGTATTTACTTTAAATCAAATTAACTGAGCTGGTTTTGATTAGATTTACAGTATTTCAAAGAATGTATTGTTCAATACAAAGATTTGCAAATAAATGTACTCTGAACACACATGTTGAAAGGGATATTAATTCATTTTCCCTGAGTTAAATTTGCAAATACATTTTTAGATTTAAATGTTAAGTCATACTGCACACCCTAATGCACAGTGATGTGTTTTTTTCAAAAATAATTCAGGACAAGTGATCGTCATATCTTGCAAAATAATTATTTTTATATCTGGCTACCGAAGTGAGAGGCACAAATTAAGAAGACTTACTTAGGTAAATGATGAGAGCAGCTTGTAGGATACACAGGAGTCCAAAACTCACAACAACCAGTCTGTACATTTTCATTCCTGTGTGTAGAACCCAGAAACATGCACACACACGGAGGTTTATGGAGGCTGACTTGCACAAGTGGCTGTTTGAGAAACTTTACACTTTAAACTGAGATGTTGATTTTGTCTTTGATTTCTTTAGCAAAATAAATGTATATATATATGATGATCTTTAAGTTTAAAATTAAGTTTAGAAAATAAGGTTACTATAAACTCAACAACTCTAAATTGTTGGACTAGGATTTCTGTCTTACCAGACGCTGCAGCAGGCACGTTGAAGTCTTCAACAGAGCGGCGGGATGCAGCTTTCCTGGCTGAAACATCTTCAAAGTCTTCGTACATCATGGAGAGCTCATGTTCTTCTTCAAGGGAAGCCATCTCATCAGTTGAGCCTCTGCAGAGTGCTGATGGTGTTTGTCAAAGTGTCTTATTTAAAGGGCACTGATCTTCCTTTATTTAATGATTCTCTCAGCATACACCTCTCTCTCTCTCTTTCTCTTTCTCTTTCACACTCTCTTCTTCCTCATTTTTGAGTCATTTGCTTTTGTTCCTCAACTCAGTATTTTATTGTTTGACTGCTGCTCCATATGTCTCTCTGATGGAAATTGTTGCACATATGAAACCCTCAGGTTTTCCAAATGATGTTGTCCCTGCACGATTTTTTTAAAGAAATCTGGGACACAATTGGAATCAATGTTCTTAATAGAATTAACAGCAGCCTACAGGAGTAGTACTAACATGCCTAAAACATGCTGTGGTCCAGCCCTTGATAAAAAAAAAACCGAACCTGGATACCACTGTTTTTAACAATGTTAGACCCATTTACAAACTTCCTTTTATGTCTTAAATTCTAGAAAAAGTAGTACTATTAGAGTTGCAGTCTTTTTTAAATGTGCATGGTATTCTCAAGGTTTTCAAGTCTGGGTTTAAAACCCTCCACAGCACCGAAAGTGCTCTTTTAAGAGTTTTTAATGACCTGTTTTTAGCTACTGATGCTGGTAACAGTGCTGTTCTTGTACTTTTAGACCTTACAGCTGCCTTCGACACTGTAGATCACGGCATTCTTATCTCTCGCCTGAAGCATTCTGTGGGAATCAGTAGTACTGCTCTAGAGTGGTTTCAGTCCTACCTCTCTGAAATAATTAAAGGGAGGCGTGTGGTGCAGTGGGTTGTGCGTTGGTGTTCGGATCAGGTGGTCACAGGTTCAAACCCCACTGCAGTCAGCATGTCGTTGTGTCCCTGGGCAAGACACTTCACCCCAAATTGCTCCTGTGGGGATTGCCCACAGTATTGAGTTTGTAAGTCGCTTTGGATAAAAGCGTCTAACAAGTGATATGTAATGTAATGTGAATCTTGGTGAGTTTAGCCCCTCCTCTGCTCCTCTCCCTTATGGGGTACCCCAAGGTTCCATTCTTGGGCCTATTTTATGGTCGCTATCATTAAAAAATATGGCATCTCATTTCATTTTTATGCAGATGATTCACAAATCTACCTGCCCCTGAAAACAAATTACTGCTAGTGGAGCACGCTCGTGAACTGTTAGTACCAAGTTATATGTTTTCAAGGAATTCTTTCTATTAAACTGTCACGTTGACTGGAGAGGTTACCATCATTTTCAACAGGACCAGATGATTAATACAGTATATGTTTAGTTCACTTAAGTATATTTGTGAAGAAAAATAACCTTGTGTTCCCTCTTACAGCCACAACACAAGAGCCAAGGCGTTATCAACAACATCTGTGAGCCTCTGCAGAGTGCTGATGGTGTTTGTCAAAGTGTCTTATTTAAAGGGCACTGATCTTCCTTTATTTAATGATTCTCTCAGCATACACCTCTCTCTCTCTCTTTCTCTTTCTCTTTCACACTCTCTTCTTCCTCATTTTTGAGTCATTTGCTTTTGTTCCTCAACTCAGTATTTTATTGTTTGACTGCTGCTCCATATGTCTCTCTGATGGAAATTGTTGCACATATGAAACCCTCAGGTTTTCCAAATGATGTTGTCCCTGCACGATTTTTTTAAAGAAATCTGGGACACAATTGGAATCAATGTTCTTAATAGAATTAACAGCAGCCTACAGGAGTAGTACTAACATGCCTAAAACATGCTGTGGTCCAGCCCTAGATAAAAAAAAAACCGAACCTGGATACCACTGTTTTTAACAATGTTAGACCCATTTACAAACTTCCTTTTGTCACGTTGACTGGAGAGGTTACCATCATTTTCAACAGGACCAGATGATTAATACAGTATATGTTTAGTTCACTTAAGTATATTTGTGAAGAAAAATAACCTTGTGTTCCCTCTTACAGCCACAACACAAGAGCCAAGGCGTTATCAACAACATCTGTATCATTTCCTCTTATTAAAGGTACAATGTGTTAGATATGCCAGAATTTATATCTAAATATTGAGCTAACATTATCAACAGAATGTGAAGAGCCTACATTGTACTGTAAACTTTATTTCAAAGACGTCTATGTGTTGCAGAGATATCAACGGATATTAGCATGCTATCTGACTAGCCATGGCCTGTCATGTGTTGTAATATCACTTGTTCTACAAGCACTACTGGTAAATCTTTCACCTTTATTATTGAAGATGGTATAATGTGCTGTAAGTACAAATGCTTGACAGGGTAGGATCAGTAACCAAAGAGTGTATAGGTGAATAGTCATTTCTTCGAAAGACATTTCTTTGCTGCAGTCATCATTCCTGTTAATACAGGCTCTTTCTTCTTATAATGCATTATTTCTATGTAAGCGATGGGGAGCAGAATTCCAATTGTTTCTTGTGCAACTTCCCTTTTTTTTCTTTTAAAAAAGAAATGTTTCTGTGCAGAGTTTCAGTTTAGGGGTGGTAACACAAAGAGGAAATTAGCTGCAGAATACTAAAACTAAAACTTGACTCAGTCTACTGAAGGCTCTTTTAAGCTTCATACGATAATCTTTAGGAGGAGTGTGCACTTTTCTCCAATTACTTAGTTTGAAATCACATTAGGAAGCATGTTTTAAGGGTCATTATAAACAAACTTGCTTCAATTTACATTAATGTCTTTCCTATGCCATTTGTCACTCACCTCGAAAGTTTTGTTTGGAAAATTGTTGGCGGGGATACAAAACCAATAATAACAATTTACAAGCCTTGTTATAAATGTCTCATTTGTTGGAAATAATTTCAACATATTAGCCCATAACAGTAGAAGGAGAATAAAATCTTGTAGAAACAAGTGGGAATCTTTTTTTGATAAATGGTATTGCAAATCTACTAATAAAGTAATATTGTTTATCCAAATAATTATAAAGGAGTGCCTTGGAAATATTTGTTTACATAAATTGCATTTATCTCTCTTGCTCGCTCCCACGCCCACTTTGGCTGTGAGCTGCGGACGCCTGATAAGCCAACACCCCCCACTTTCATCACTTACAGCGCCCATCGTACAGGGCAAATGAAAAGTGTAACCGGGGTGAAAAGGGTGTTACCTTTACTTAATTATGAATGTTGTTACATCAAGGCTGAAAATTAGGATGAGCGCAAACAGTCAAAAAGGTTTTTTTTCCCCCCCAGATCTGGCGCCCTAGGCGACCGCCTATGCCAAAAACCGGCCCTGTACACCATGCTA